GGGTTGCGGATTTTGGCAAAGAAGTCTCTTATTCCCTTTGCCAAATATGCGAAATTGAATCCTTGTGACAACTGCTTGTTTGGAAAGCATCATAGAGTCACTTTCCACTCATCTTCTAGAAGACAATCAGGGTTATTGAGCGAAGTATACTCTGATGTATGCGGTCCCATAGAAGTGGAATCTTTGGGTGACAGAAAATACTTCCTAATGTTTATTGATGACGCATCACAGAGGGTATGAGTTTATATCCTAAAGACCAAAGCTAAGGTGTTACATCATTTTCGTCATTCCATGCTATAGTGGAAAAGGAGACCGAAAAAAAACTAAAGTGTCTTCGAACAGACAATGGAGGCGAGTACACGTCAAAGGAGTTTGAAGCCTACTGTGCTACTCGTGGCATTTGACATGAGAAGACTGTTCCTAGAACCCCACAACACAATGGTGTAGTCGAGAGAATAAACCAGACCATTGTGGAGAAGGTCAGATGTATGCTTAAAATGGCAAAGCTGCGAAAATCATTTTAGGGAGAGGTTATTTGTGTTGCTTACTATTTGATCAATAGATTGCCATCAGTTCCACTGAATTTTGAGATTCCATCAAATTTATGATCTAGAAAGGAGATTTCTTACTCTCACTTGAGAGTGTTGGGTGCAAAGCATTTGCACATATATCCAGGGAGCATAGGCAAAAGCTGGATGATAAAGCTACTCCAGGCATTTTTATTGGCTATGGAGATGAAGAATTTGGATACAGATTGTGGGATCCGAAAAACAAAAAGGTCATTCGAAGTCGAGATGTGATGTTTCAAGAAGGCCAGTCCTTAGAAGACTTTGGGCAACTAGCCAAACCCAAAGTTGATGATGTTTTAGAAATTGTTTTGAATCCTACACCATCACAGCATACCACTGATGAAGAAGAGCTACCACAACATGTAGCCAATGATGTAGAGTTGCAGGATGAATTTCCAGAAGAAGAAGATCTAGAAGAAGAAGGTATTGAGCAGGAGGAGCCACAACCCCCTCCGCCAAAGACTGTTGGTCCACAGTTACGAAGATCAACAAAAGAGCCTAAGCTACTATCCTGCTACTGAGTATATTTTACTTACTGATGAGGGGGAGCCAAAAAGTTTTCAAGAAGCTCAGAATCATAAGAAGAAGAGTAGCTAGCAGCAAGCCATGCAAGAAGAGATGCAGTCTTTATAGAAAAATCAAACTTATGATTTGGTAAAACTTCTCCAGGGTCGAAAATCACTAAAGAACAAATGGGTGTTCAAGTTGAAGAAAGATGGCAGCGAAAAGGTAGTCAAGTATAAGGCTCGATTGGTTGTCAAAGGGTTTGTGCAGAAGAAAGGTATTGATTTTGATAAAATCTTCTCGCCAATTGTGAAAATGATATCTATTCGAGTAGTTTTGGGATTAGCGGCCAATTTAAGTTTGGAACTTGAACAAATGGATGTGAAGACTGCATTTCTCCATGGTAATTTAGAGGAAAAAATTTACATAGAGCAACTAGAAGGCTTTGAAGTGAAAAGGAAAGAAAACTTAGTTTGCAGATTGAAGAAGAGTCTCCACGGCCTCAAACAAGCACCGAGACAGTGGTACAAGAAGTTTGACTCATTCATGATGGGTCATGAGTGCAAGAGAACTGCTGCAGACCAATGTGTATATGTCAGAAAATTTTCCAGTGGAACCTTCATCATATTCCTGCTCTTTGTTGATGACATGCTAATTGTTGGACAGGATGCCACAGCAATGAGATAACTAAAGAATGAGTTATCACAATCTTTTGACATGAAGGACCTAAGCCATGCACAACAAATTTTGGATATGAAAATTACACATGACAAGAAAGCCAAGAAGTTGTGGTTGTCACATGAAAAGTATGTTGAACCGGTGCTTGAAAAGTTCAACATGAAATATACCAAGTCAGTTAGTACTCTGCTAGCTAATCATTTCAAGTTGAGCAAAAGTTCTTGTCCCTCATCTACGAAAGAAAGAGAAGAGATGGAGGCAATTCCCTACTCTTCTGCAGTAGGGAGTTTAATGTATGCAGTGGTATCTACCCGACCAGCCTCATGTTGTTAAAGTTGTACGCAGATTTCTTTCCAATCTAGAGAAAGAGCATTGGGAGCAGTCAAGTGGATTCTGAGGTACCTTGAGGGTACATTTAAAATGTGTCTATGCTTTGGAGGAGAAAAACCAATCTTGGAAGTTTATACAGATTCAGATATGACAGGTGATTTTAATGGTAGGAAATCTACATCAAGATTTCTGTTTACTTTTGCAGGGGGAGCTATGTCTTGGCAGTCCAAACTGCAGAAGTGTGTTGCTTTATCCACAACCGAGATAGAGTATATTGTTGCAGTGGAAGTTAGGAATGAGATGTTGTGGTTGAAGCAGTTTCTCCAAGAATTGGGACTAAAGCAAGAGAAGTTCATGGTACATTGTGACAGCCAGAGTGCCATAGACCTGAGCAAGAATTCTATGTACCATTCTCGCACAAAGCACATTGATGTTTGGTATCATTGGATACGTGAAGTGATGGAAAAGCAGTTATTGGAACTGGTCAAGATCCACATAGATAAGAATCCAGCCGACATGCTTACAAAGGTGGTCTCAAGAGCCAAACTCGAAGTATGCAGGGACATTTTTGGAATGGACTCCCAGTAAGGATCCTACTCCCCATGGGTGTAAAGGGGGAGAATTGTTGAGTATCCACACCATGCGTTAAGAATGGGGGCTACAGATTTGCTAAAGTTTTTTCACACCTAGGGTGGCTGTGTTATTAACTTTGGTATTTGGTTGTTGGCAAGTAAAGGTTGGCAAGCAGAGGTTGATTGTTTTTCTTTTGGCTCTCCCGTTTGTGTATAAATAGGGAGAGAAGTGAGCTAAGTTGATAAAATAATCAGAGTGGGAAAAAAAAAAAGAGTTGTAAAGAGTGTACCTGTGACTTGAGTTGAGAGAGTGAGCTCCTCCTCTCCCGTTTTTGTATTGTTACACAGTTTATAGTGCATTCTCATTTCTCCTCCCGTGAACGTAGGCATTGGGCCAAACAACGTAAATATTTGTGTCTCAGTAGTGTGATTGTTTGTTGATCATTTTCTAGGTATCCATAATCACAACAATTAGTAATTGAAAATTTTATTAATTCGTATAACATTTTCCCCCCAAATAATATCATGATGTTCTTATCAAAGAAAATATTTGAATAACTACATATCCTTTAAATGCATTAAGGTAGTGTTTAGATGTCTATTCTCATGTTTTTATTTTTTTAGGTTGAATATATTCTTAAATTTGATTGACTAAAAAATAATAAAAAATACATTTAAATAGAATTATAATTCATCATTGGAAGGAATCAAAGTGCACGGTTTGTTCACAATGTTGCCTTATTATTAAGGGTGGATATCAACTGATGGCCTCTAAACTTGTCCGTTAGAATTGTGATTTAAGTCATAAGACTTGGTTTGATAATATTTTTTAATTTCGATTAAATTGTGGGTCGGATTTAAAAAGAGTCCTTCAAATTCGGCCCTGCAACAAATTAATTTTATACAAATATTGTATAGATATACATATTTATGTGTATATTTTATATTGTTTAACCTTATTATTTTATAAACATAAATATGTATTATCATGTGAAAAAAAAATGGTTGGAAATTTAAACTAACCTTAATAGGATGAAGTGATATCCTAACCATTAAATTAATTTTATTTTTTGAATTTAAATATGGAAAAAGATATTTATATTAAATAATATCCAACCCATATGGGCAGGTTTAGAATTTCGTATTTTGTTTTTGAATGAGCTTAAATTTAAAGTATAGGGTGGATCTCAGTCCAGGCTAAGCTTGCTTTAAAAACTACTTCAAGTTCAAGTGTTATTAAATGGTACCAGCCCAAACACAGGCAACTGATGCAACACCCCTACATTATAGTAGGTGAGAAGTCTTGCCAAAATTTGTATACAATGTTACATGTAGAAATGCCATTTTGACATTAAAAACATCTCAATGAGCACTTTATTTTAAATGGTAGACTCAAAATTCACTAAATCAATTTGTATAACCTTTTTGTACTATATATATATATATATATATATTTTGGGTGCTCCGGAAAGGAATAAAATAGTATAAAAAAGTTCAAAAAGACAAGAAAAATAAAAGCAATAAAATCATATCAACAAACGGAGACCTAGTACTAATTTTTGTTTGTATCTTCATGTGTTATCCCTAACACATGAAAACACCATATATAAGATTAACGGGTTGGACTTCTCTCATGTTAGGGATCCAATTTGAGAGAACTCTTGGTGGTTCGTTGTGAGTCCAATCTTAGAAATCCAAACCATTCATTTTTTAGTATTTATTGAGAAAAATATTTATGCCAAAAATTAAGATGACTAACGTTCAGTATATGTTTAAATCACATGTCTTAAAAAAATAGACAGCAAATATAATTTTAAAAATAACTGTTTATTTTTTAATAACAAATGTGATTCAAATATATAATTATCGAAATCCAATCATTTTAATTTTTTACATGAATATTTTTCTCAATGAATTCTAAAAAATAAACGATTTTGATCACCGAGATTGGATTTACAATGAATCCACTAAACTCAAATGTTCTCTCATGTTGAATCCCAACATAAGAAGAGCCAAACTCAAATAAATGTGTACATGTAATTTCATTTTCTTTTTTCCTTTTTGATTGATTACCCATACAAAAATAAATAACCACATGTAATTTCTTTTTATCCTTTTTCCTAATCCACAAATTCCCACATGTAATTTCTTTTCTATCCTTTTTCCTACACCACAAATTCAACATCCGAACATAGCAAAAAATTATTTTCATTATTATGTCTTTGTTGACATGACAAATCTACAAGTAATTCATCAGAGCTAACCTCTCAACTGATACAAACACACAGAAAAGCCAAGTCCCAAAGCCCATTCAATGCCTATGGTTAGTACAAATATTGACAACAAATAAATATCGAACGAAAATATTATGACAAAACATACATATATATTTATATTTTTTTTTTACAAAATTTCAGGACTGTAAATGCAGAGTACTTTTCGCCATCAACACAAACTATATATAAGAAACAATCCATCAGAAAATGTAACGTTTTGTAGATGCAGCAAGATTTAGTAAAATTCTTCGAGACAACGAACGAAGCCATGTATAACAGCAGCATCACCCATTCAGCATGTTTATGGTAAGAAACTACCGCCTCAAGCTCTCCACTATGTAGTCAGCATAGAGATTCCTTCATGGTACAAGTAAAATGTGCGATGAGAATAATGCCATAGCCAATTCACATGAGATTGATGACAAGCAAAGTAACAATCTTGTAAAAACCAATGAAGGTAATGTTTGGTTGAGAAGAAAATTCATTATTTTGTTTGGTTACTTGAAAAAATAAATATGTAGAATTAATTTTATCTCCCTTTCATTTTTTTTTTTCCCCTCTTGAAATGCAAAACACAAACATAGCATAAACATAGAACTGGAAAATCTAATGATGGGGTGTGTATGTCTCGAGACTAGGGCCTGTTGTCATTTTCCAAATAGTTGTTTTTTGAAATTTTCATTATTTTTGTTTCCGAAAACATAACCAAACATAATAATATTTCTTGATTGGGTGATGGCAAATAACATGTGGGAAGTAGACGAGAAAAATAAAGATATTGAAAAAAGAGAATGAATTCATTGCTTACATGGAATGCTGGATTGCATCAAAAGCATCGGTAGCTGGAAGAAAATCGTTAACTGCAACTTCCTTGTTCTCATTTTTCTTGTCTAATTAATTGTTAAGAAAAACTTACAATTTTCCTTTAATTTTGTACCCATCAGAAAGGGGAAAAAAAAAAAAAATCACGTCAGAGACATATGTATTATGCAGTCATTATATATTGAGGACGCTTGGAAGGATACAGTCCTCAAAGAAGCGGCGGATCTCAGCCAACCTATGTGGTGGGAGCTCGTTGATATCAGTGTACTGACGATACTCGGGATCATCAGCACACACTGCAATTATCTTGTCGTCTTTTTCACCCTATTATTGTTCGAACCAAGGTTAAAAATTCCTTTCAGGGGTAAAAATAAAATTATCCAGATTGTTGGATCATACACACCTGATCAATCATAGGCATGAGGCCAATTGCTTTAGCCCGGAGAAAGCATCCTGGAAGAACTGGTTCCTGTTCATGTTTTGTAAAGGATTGTAAGCATTAGCAGCTGAGGTTCGGTTTATAATAAACATCATTACAAGAAGTACATCATTAATAACTCTAACTAAAATAAATTTCAAAGAATGAACAAAAAAAGGTATACATATAAAAGATAAATTTAGAATCTGGCTCACATGAGCATAAGGCCTAGAGAATTGTAAACAGGGAAGTCCAGTCAGTGGACAATGTTCACCCAAATAAGGGTCATCATTTGGCCCGAAGCCCACCCTGCCAGACCACTAGCCCAACAGAAAATATGGAAAAATGAAATCAAAAATATAGGGTCTAATCTCGGCATGTTGGGCTAAGCCTGTGGGCCCATGAGAAGCTGCTCGTCTAGGCCAAGCTTGTTGGGCGAGGCTTGAACTTAAGATTTTTGACCTTGGAGTTGGGCAATAAAAAAAAGCTCGTTGGTTTTGAAAATGATACCCTCCTTTCCTCATAGTTTGGTACTTCTCCACCACTTCATTTGCTGCCAAGGCACCATCCAAAATCTGACACCCCTTAACAAAGTCTCCTTGAATCGCGAATCGAATCGAATCGTGAATCGTAAAGATTCAGTCACTTTTTCTAAATTACTTAAAAATTTATATCTACACATTTAGATGTTAAATGTATCTTATGAATATAAAATATTTAGACTTAAATCAACAAAAATATTATTTTGAATGATAATCACGTAATTTAATAGGTAAGAAGTTAACAAAAGTTCTTATGTAAAATCACCATCTTACCTTTTTATTTACTTTTAGATATTTTTTATCAACCATTTTTTATAAAGATAATAACCAAATAGACAAACTATTAATTTTTAAAGTAAGAATAGTTAACAACGATATTGATATTTGGACAAGAAAAATGACTCGTAGCTCGAATTTTTTCAGGCCCGAATGGCTCGAACTGCCCAAAACGACATCGTTTTGGGCAGTTTTTTTTTTTTTTCTTCTTCTTCTTCTTCTTTATTTCTTTCTTTTTCATTCTTTCCCCTTCATTCTTTCAAACACAGAGACAGAGAGGGAAGAGAAGAGGAGGGAGAGAGAGAGAGAGAGAGAGAAAAGAGAGAAGAGAAGAGAAGAGGCGATCGCCGGTGATGGTGGCGGCAATCGACGGCCCGATCTCCTCTTTCAAACTTTTTTTTTTTTCTTTCTAAGTAGATCTGGATCTGAAAAAAAAAAAAAATTATTAATGATGATAATGTTGATCCGGATCTGCAGACTAAGGGAATTTTTTTTTTTGTTGATGAAGATGAAGATGATGATGATGTTGAAGATGATGAACAAGATCTGCAGAAAAACAACGAAAAAAAAAAAATGACGAAGATGAAGATCGGTTGATATTGATGAAGATCTCTGTGTTGTTGATGATGAAGATGAACTCTGTTCCTCTCTCTGTGTTGTTGTTGATGAAGATGAACCTAACTTCCTCTTTCTCTCTCTGTTCTTCATCTTTTTTCTTCATCTTCAAAGAGAGAAGGAAAAAAAAAAAAAATCGAAAACGACGTCGTTTGGACTCGGGCCATTCGAGTCGTGATGATTTCGAGCTACCAATCGGGATTGTTTGGACAATAAGCATATATACTTTTCTAAGTAAGAGTGAGCAAATAATAAGAAAGAATTATGTAGGATATTTTATTTTAAAACCTAAAATATTTTAAAAAGTATAACTGGGCTCACACATGTAATATTCAATTTAATAAAATAGTCACACATGTAATATTCAATTTAATAAAATAGTAATAGATAATTCATAGTGTAACTTTAATCTTAAACATCTTTAAAAGATATATTACAATTTTTTGAAGGGAAAAAAAATGAGAAAAAAGGTTAAAAATATGTTAGGTCTGACTGAATCTGATTGGATCCTATAAAAAACTCCATGATCACTAAAATAATAACAAATCATATATATATGTTGGTTATTTTAGTATTAAATGCTATTAGAAGTTGTATTATGTCATTTTCACTAAAAAGATGAAAAAAATGAGTCGAAAATATGTCAAACACAATAATTTCAAAAATTGCATGAATCGTAAAAAATAAATCGAATTAGGAATCGATTGTGAATCGTGCGAGTCACTAGAGATTCACTTCCAAAATAGATTCACTCATAGATTCGTATCGATTTTGTAAAAATTGCATATCGAATCGAATCGCGAATCGTAAAATTCTGATAACAGAGGTTGGCATTAGGCTTGCTCAGGCCAGCCAATGCTGACCTTTGCACCCATATGAGATATAATTCCAATGTTAACCCAATACATCCTCAGTCCAATACTATGTCCATGTGTGGATAAGAAATCTTCAGAGTTAATTGTGGGATGTTGCTTTTCTTAGATGTGTCCATCTTGATATGATCGTAATAATTCACCTTGTCTCAATTGTTGGACAAACTATATAAGCTATAGCAAAATTTGCATTGTTCAATCTGCAAATGATGCAAATAGCGAAAATGCATATCAAACAGCATACCTGCATGATAACCAACACATCCATGGGGTCATTATCCTCGCAGAGAGTACGAGGGATGAAGCCATAGTTATGTGGGTAAACAACAGATGAGTAAAGCACACGATCAACCTGCACATATGCAAAAGAGTTTTAGCAACCCATTATTACCAACAAAGCTTACTAAGATAAATGACTATGTATGTGTGATTATTACTTTGATCATTCCAGTTTTCTTGTCGAGTTCGTATTTCACCTTACTCCCCTTACTGATTTCAACAACCTGCAATAATTATCAATGATCATCATACTAGAGCATTTGTCAAGGAAGAATGAAAAAATCATGCAAAATTATGAATTTTTCAAGACATTTTTAAAGTTGCCCACAATTTTATGGGAACATAAATGCAAAGGGACCATGTGATAGTAGTTAATAATTATGTATAACAGAATGTATAAATTCAACACTAAGATGTCCAAACTCAACGGTAGAATATAATCCTGATACGAGTCCTAACCTACTTCCGCATATGTTGTGTAGGTAGTTCTAAAAACTAACGCCCTGTTTGGGAGCTTAGGTTTTTAGCCAAATGGCCACTAAAAAAGCCAATTTCCAAACACCTCCTAAATACCTATATATATATATTTTATAATTTAAAACCAAACCACTATCTCCTCCAAACTTTAATAATAAGCATAAATTCATACTTTTCATTTGGTTAAGCTACTGCTTCCTCCAACCTTTTATACAAGTACAGTGATTAACCACATTGTTCAACTACAAACATTCTTACTCTTAAGTATCAGAAAAAGATAATTGCAAGCTAAATAAAGTTAGACATTAAAACTATGAGCTCTAGAAATTTCAGTATCCTTACACAGTTGAAAATCTTCGGAGCTCCAGGTCCTGCATCAAATTATAGAGAGTTACATACCAAATGATCACTACATCCATAATAGGAAGGCACACTCTAGAATTAACCATCCATCGCTTGTAATAAAGTTTAAGTACCTATCTCGAGATCATGCCAAGGATGTGCAGCAATTGATTTTCTGGTCATAGATGTAAGTATTCTTTCATTAAGAGGTGGATGTGAAGTTTTATGGCCGATGGGAGCTTTGTTTGGAGTCTCAATAGGTGGAGTCATATTTGCAAGCTGCACACACAACAACAAATTCAAAGTAAGGCACCTTTTCTTTTCCCAAAATGAAACTAATGATCATTTTTTCGGGCAATTGGTGAGCAACATAATTAAATTAAGTAGTTCAATAACAATGATGTCCCCAAACTTCAAATGAAATTCAGCTAGAGTATGTTTCCAATAAATTAGTAAATCCAAATCGGTGACCAGGTGGAAAAAAAACAAAAGACGAGATACGAACATTTAATGACACTCAAAAGAATTACTGGCTCAATGCCAAATAAACCAGTGACCACTATATAAAAGTCCCATTCAAACAGTGTTATGTTCATTAAGATGTCGGAGAATTGAAGTACATGCAAGGATGACCAACTATCTCTCAAACACTACAACAGTCCTAAACTGTTGAATCACATAATTATTGGCTTAAAATGACGTTATGCTAAATTTAATCGCCAATCACAGATATACAATGCACTTAATAGTCTATTGTTTGTTTTGAGGGATTATTCTATGGGATTGGATTATTAGTCCATCCGAATTAATAGTCTATTGTTTGGTTCAATTTTTTTGCTCCGAATTAATAGTCCCTCCGGACTATTAGTCCCTCATATGAGGGATTATTGTATCCTAGGGAGAGGGGTGGAATTATTTTCATAGGATTGGTATCCCATGAGACTAATGTGTCCATTTTATACTCATGTTATTACTTAATAAATAATTTAAAAAATGGTAAAATAATTTTTTGAACATTTATAAATTATTTTTTTAATGTTGTTAATTTAAAACTATATATTAAATTATAAATTATAAATTTAATTTAATTAAAAATAATAAATTATAAATTATGGCTTTATAATTTTTTCAGTGTTGTTAAAAAATTAAATTTATATATTAAATAAAATTAGTTTTTTAGTGTTGTTAATTTAAAATTATATATAAATAAAAAATATAAATTATAAATTTAATTTAATTGAAAATAATAAATTAAAAATTATGGCTTTATAAATTAAAATTTTTTAGTGTTGTTAAATTATAAATTATAAATTATAGATTACAAATTTAAAATTATATATTGAATAAAAATTATAAATTACAAGAGTAAAATAGTCTTTTGAACATTTATCCTTATCCAGTCCGTCCAATCAAAAATAGTCAAATCCAGACATCTACTCTCATGGCTAAACAACATAGGATACAAATCCAGTCTAACCAAATAATCCGGACTAACAATCCGATAGACTACAATCCCCTTATCCAATCTGTTCAAACAAACACACCCTTAAAGGAGAATAACGCACTTTCTACCATATTTTGTTCAGATCTACAGAAATCTAAAACAGAAATTGTTCCAGCTTCTTCAAGGCTCACCCAACTCAACAAAGCCCTGTTCTAACTGTTTGGGCATGCCTTTCTGCTCTGGCTATGACCATAGTTTCCTCAACACTTTCAAAGATGATATATATGTATATTTATGAAGACCTTAAATATAATTCAAACATGATGAACAGATAAAAAACAACCTAAATTAAGGTTTAAATAAAATGAAATTCGAATGAAAATTTTAAGATGATGAAGTGAAAAAATGCAACAAAGGCCCGTCAAAACTTCAAATTCTGTTATGAAATGCCAACGCAAGCATTTGCTTGACAATAAATTTGATCTTTAGAGTTTTGCTACATCCCCAATTTCATCACCCCCAATCGCACCTATAATGATGTGGCAGGGAAGTAGAGGCTCCACATAATTGAGTATGTGACAAATCAAAATTGACATCTAGGGATCCAAATATTTTACTAATTGTTCTATAAAATGTCTCACATAGGTGTGTGAGACCCACATGGCATGAGTTCCACATTCATACGAAATTTGATAAAATATTTGTGATATCTAACATTTTTCTATTAGGGGTTTCAAACATTTTCTAAACTTTTAAATCAACAAATATTAAAGTATTCATTTAAACGTTCCTAGAAACCAAAATTTACCACAGATCTACCAAACTCGAAACCAAAATTTAATTCTCGTTTCACATCCAACAAAAACACCGCAAGATAGAGAATCTACGAACAGCTGGACACCTACAGTAGTAATTTCTACAAAGATCATGATTCTTTAAAAGCTGATCTCAAATTCAACATGAAATTCAAACGATTCACGTATGCAAATTGGCGTATAAATACATGTACATGTATGTAATGCAAGTGGAGCTTAAACTATGTGAATTTGGAAGAAAGAAAACTCAGAATAAGCAACAGAAACCATAGAAAAAACGATCTACAAGTCAGAAAAGCGAACTGAGAAACTAACCGGAAGTGATCAACGTTCTGAACAGCGCCGAGCAAGCGAAGCGAAAAGGCTCAGATCTCGAGATGAAGACAACGTAACAAGGCAGTAATGGATATATAGAAATATATATAGAGAAAGAGAGAGCTCAAGTTGTACGCGTTCCCGCTCTGTATTGGGACTTTGCTTTGGAATTTAAAGGCGAAAAGCTAAAAAGAAAAATTCATACGTTCTTCTCTCTCTCTCTCTACACGAATAAAATGCCATATGGAATCGAGTAGATTCTCTATTGAAAAATGATAGTGATGCTAAATTTTTTATTGAGGTTAAATTTGATATTTTAAAAAAAAAATTAAAAAATTATTGTTTTATTTAAGTTATATTATCTTATTTAAGTCATATTATTTTTTTATCATGTCACTTCAAACTAAACTCATATTTTATAAAAATTTAAAATTATACTTATTTAGAATATTCCAAACAACTTTAAAAATTTTTATTAAATATTTCATACGATTGTGATTCTATATTTATGTGAAACTCGTTTTATATGAAATTTTTAATAAAATATTAAATAAAAATTTGGACATCCCTAGTTATTTGGAGCGAATGTGAATTGGATCCAGCTGCAGTTCCATGACACGCGTTGGAATGTGTTGGGTCGTTTGGTAGTCAACAATATTCCGTGGTTTCAAACTGTATGGAAAATAAATTACTGTAAAAAATTATGACATATTTACATTTTGTGTTTTTAAATTTTGATATTTTAATTCTTTTAAAGTATTATTTTATTATAATTGATCGATAGAAAATCCAATTATGTATAAAATATATCATATTTATTAAATTTTTTGAATAATAATTTATTGATTTTATTTGTACTTTGTCATTAAAATTCGACAAAATCTAAATTAAATCATAATAGTTTATTATCTTTTTGTAATTAATCTTAACAAAAATGTTAATTGTTATAAAATAATATTTAACGAGATTAATTGTTGAGTTTTAAAATTTAGTGAGATAAAGTATAAAGAGTCATAGTTTAAGGGGATTTATTGTAATTGTTTTTTTTCACCAATGTTAAGAACACAAATGCCATTTGTCAAGTGAGCTGGGTTTTGATTGGGAATAAAAAAACAAAAATATAAAATAGATTAAATAAGTTAATAAGATAAAATATTATATTTAAACTATAATCATTTTATTTTTTTCTCAAAAAAATCAAAAAGAGTGAAAAAGTTCTTAAATTGAGCTAATTTAACCAAGCTAAATTAGTAAAAAAGCTAAAAAAATCAAGCTAATTTTTTTTTTTTCTAAACGAATCACAAATTAAATACAAAATGAAACACAAATTTACACGGATAAGATCCACAAGATGTAGGACCTACCTTTTATGAGATATTTATGTCTCACTTTATATTTGGTTCTATATGTGGATTTCGTTTGGCAATAGATTTTTTTAGTTAAATTAGTCACGAAAAGATAAAATAAATTAAAAAATCAATAAGATAAAATGTTACGTTTAAAGTATAATCATTTTACTTTTTCTCTTACAAAAGTAAAAAAAACCAAAAAGGTTAACCTAAATAAACTTTTAGACCTAAATTAAAATAATCAAAAAAATCAAAAAGTCAACTAAAACCTAGCCAAATGACAACTTATTATTATTTTTTTTTTAATTTTTCCTATTTCCTCTTGTCTTAATCAACGGTAATGATACATCCCACTAAAAGTGGTGCTCTAAAGTACCACTAATGAGTTGACAAACACTTTAAATGAAAAAAAAAAAAAAAAAAACAAGACACAAGCAGTGGGCCCCGTCCACTGCCACATCACTAGTGGTGCTTTTAGAGCTCCACTTTTAGTGGTCTCAAGCATTATTGCTTAATCAATTACTTCAATCATGTAAGAAAAATTGAAATACATAAATCACTATCATAAGGTCCGTAATTGTAGGGGATAATATTTTTTCAAATATCAATATCTTCCGTTATTAGATTATATAAAAATTTAAACAGTAATGCTGTGTATAATTTTTATTTTTTATCTTAATTTTTTAATCTTAAACAAAAAAATAAATGGAGCCCACATTTATAAATACATATAAAACTCACTCACTTGTGTCTTAAAATAAGAAAATGAGATATTAATCTCTTATTTATTTTTTTATTATCCCAAAAATATTAGTCTCTCTTCAAAAATCAAGTACTTAAACAACATGAATTTCATATTTTGCCCTTCTTTTAAATTCATTAATATTAATATACACAAAAAGTATAATTATGATAATTAATATTCTCCAAAAAAATTGTACTGTTTTAATTTTAAATCAATTGTTAGTTTTGAAAATTTAATATTTTTAAAATGTAATAACTGTACTACCAAAAAAAGTTAAATTTTTTAAAAGGGACCAATATTTTGAGACAAATGGAGTAATTATATATAGCATTTAGATCATTGATGTAATCTCATATTTATAGGTGTTTTAAGAATATTAAGTTATTTACTTTTTAGAACTATCTTATTACATTTAAGCCCCACTTCACAAGTGATTTTTTTGATTGAAATAGTTAAAAAGTCATAAAAAATTAGAAAATTAAAAATTCAATCATATTAACAAAGTGTGCACATCATATATATATATATATTAATTTTTTTATAACTATTTAACAAAAAAAAATTATTTCTAAACACATTAATTTTTTTTATCTTATCAAAAAATTAAAAATTACTTCAAAACTAAATTTCTAAAGAAATACTTAGGCAAAAATTGATTATTTTAATTAATTTTTTAATTTTTATGAAAAAATATATAAAAAATTATGTGACGACTTATAATTTTTGACTAAACCTACCACTGCAAACAAAACCTTAATATATCAATCAATTAATCGTCAAATCAGTATACATTGGTGGTGATCTTTTATTTTTACCTTTTGAAAAAATAAATTTCAATAAAGTGACATTTCAAACCACTTTTATTGTTTAGGAAAATGACTGGTAGCTCGAAAAAAGTGGCCTGATTTTGGCTCGAATTGCAAAACGACATCATTTTGTGATTCTTTTTTTTTTTCTTCTTCTTTTTCTTCCTTTTCTTTCTCTTCCTTTTCTTTCTTTCTTTTCTTCTTCTTCTTCGTTGAACACAGGAGAAGAACGGAGGAAAAGAGGAGGAGAGAGGGAGAAAGAGATAGGAGAGGAGAGAAGGGCCCCTCCTGTGCCTCCGCCGCTGCCGATCGTTGCAGTATCTCCGATCGTTACAGCAGCTCCGATCGTCGCAGCAGCAGCTCCGATCATCGCAGCCCCGCGCAGCCCTGCCTTTGGCCCCGCCTCCTCCAGCCCGATTTTGATGGCCCCCTTCCCTCCAGTTCTCCTTCTTCCTCCTTCTTCTTCTCCGAATTCGAGCTACGAATCGGAGTCGTATTGTTTATTGGTTGAGATAAAAATAAGTAGTGTTATGAAAAAATATTAAATATATTGATAACATCATTTTTATGTCGTGTCATCAAGTAATAAAAATAATAAATTAAATTAAATAAATAATTCATATCTTTCATTAATTTAATTAATTTTTATTACAAAATAAAATTAACTATTAAATAATAATACTATCATATAATAATATCGTCATATTATATTAGGATATTAAATCATACAATATCATTACATCTACCAAATTTATTTAGTCTGAATGAGTCTCTTTCCAAAAAGAGTACCATACATGAATTTTTTTTTCGAAATTCATTCAGACAAATTTAGATTAAATAAATTCAGTAAATAAATTTTACGTATCATAAAAAAAATCTGATTGTTAACAGTGGTGCGGTTGAATTTGAAAGTTGCGTTATCAAAAACAGAAGGTGAGAAGCCTTGATTACTGATTAAATATTAAGGATTCACATGCAAATATATGGAATACAATTGTGTTCGTGATGGGGGGGTGTAAATAAAAGTCTGTGAGGTGCAAATATTACGTACACCCCTTTACATCTTGATAATTTTTTTTCTCCACTGTCACCTAAAAGTAATTTCACCTTAAACTTTTGTTAGTTTGCGGGCTCAGATCCGGTGTGCCGTCCCCTCAGTGGGGTCCAGTGGAGTTAATTGTGGTGGTGCCACATTCTACTTGTTTTGCAAATTCGAAAAGATTATGATCCTATACCAATTGAGTCGAATCCAGCTGAGTCATGTAATAAATTATTGAAATTTGATTTAGAAATGTGGGTCCCAAAATTTTATATTATTAGTTGGATTGGATGTTGTTTGGGAAGATATTATTTTAATATTTTTTTAATTTTTTAAGAAAAATTATATAGAAAAATAAAGAGAATAATGTAATAATTTATAATAATTTTTTAATTTTTTAATTAAAATGTATAATTGACAAATGAGACCTTAATTTTAAATAAATTTTCAATGAACCGATTATAATTTGAGTTTAAAATATGTTGATTTTTTAATACAGTTAATTAATACATACAAAATTATCAAATTGATTTGATGTGAACTCCAAAAAATTAACAAAAGGCAAAATATGTTCAAGCTTAGTTTAGGTAGGGTTTAGTAAATAGTAATTATTATTTTAGTATATTTTTGTTATGGTTTTTTAAAATTAAAAAAAAATTAAAAATTTGATGCATTTGTTAATTGCTAAAAAATTAATTTTTGGTGATAAATTACATATTACTATTGGGTAGTGTTTGGTTCATTAGAATGAAATTGTCATTCTATCAAGTATTCATTCCTATGTTTGGTAGACTAAAAAATAATATTAATAAATACATTATAAATGGAATCGTCATTTACCATTACAAGAAAATGATCATTCCATAGGTCAATTTAAGGAATATCATAATTAAAAATTTGATGCATTTATTAATTGCTAAAAAATTAATTTTTGGTGATAAATTACATATTACTCTTGGGTAGCGTTTGGTTCATTAGAATGAAATTGTCATTCTATCAAGTATTCATTCCTATGTTTGGTAGACTAAAAAATAATATTAATAAATACATTATAAATGGAATCGTCATTTACCATTACAAGAAAATGATCATTCCATAGGTCAATTTAAGGAATATCATTCCATTATATTCCATCTCATTTCTATGAACCAAATGGAGCATATTATAGATGCTTTGTAGGGGATGGAATTTTTTTAAATACTGAGGGTAAAATAGTCATTTTGAAAATTTTCCAAAAAAGCTATTTTTTTATATTATTTTTGTCAATCCATAAAAGACTAA